GCAGATCAAAATAGCGATAAAAGGTAAAGAAAGCCGGCAAACAGACTAAACTAGAGAGCTGAAAGAGGACTGTCTCCTGATTGATCAAAAATGCAATACTGCTGCAGGAAGGTTTCTGCTCATCCTTTCGTATTCGCCACTGTACGAACATGTTTTTATGGTTCAAGCTATTCAAAATTATCACATATGCAACTGATAAACAACAAATACGAACAATGGAAACACTATTTCCAAGGTACATTGCTCCTAATGTTGGCACTTCGCTAACTAGTTTCCTTTCGTTAGACTTGCGCGAAAGAAGGTGCCTTCAGTGTGACTGAGTGAGGGATACATACATCATTACAGATACAGTCTCTTGAAAAATTAGCACGTGTCATTTGTGGAAAAAAATGTTATCTCAACTGCAGTTATCAAAGTTACTTTTTTTCTCTGTGTACATTAATTGCAACAACTGAACGCTTACCGCCATGGTTATCGTCCTCTTTCACTGAATGTATATGCCGATTCCCAATGACGAGCTTTTTTTTCACGAGCTATATCCACTGCCTTAAACACTAAACACAAAAAGGGAGAAACGTGTCCAGTTCCCCCAAGTAAAATTGAATCGATGGAGGCGCAAAGCAAATTATGAATCTTAAAGCAATCCATTTTTTTTTTCAAAATTTCACAGAAACTGATTATTGAGTAGTGGGGAAGGAAAAAAGCCCACAAAATCTGAATGCAAAAGCTAGATATAAATATTAGTCAATCGAGTAGCAACATTTCCTAGCTTTCCACAGCGGCAATCGTTATCAATTCAAAGGAAAATACAATTTCTCAGAAATGGTTACCTCCTGTGATCATAGTTAACGCTTTGTGTAAAGCAGATGTACACTTATCAGCCACGCAATGGATGATATTGTACATATAAATTTTCCTTTCATAAAATTTTGTATTTTCTTTCGTTTTTGACGATATGCTCCTTGTACCTTTTTTGTCTTTACCTTTTTTTTTACCTTTTTTTCTTTTTTTTACCTTCTTTTACCTTTTTTTAGATGCAGACTATGCTGACGACTCAGCAGTGCTGGCTTACGTCCTAAAAGATGCTACGTTCCTGCTGCACAGCATTGAAAGAACAGCAAAAGAGATAAGGCTCTACCTCGATGCAGATAAAACAGAGCTCCTCTGCTTCAATCAAGATGCGTCAGAAGGGATGAAGAGTCTCAATGGTGAGAAGATAAAGCAAGTGGAAGATTTTAAATACCTGGGAAGCTACATCGCCTCTACCGAACATGATGTTAACATCAGACTAGGAAAGGCGTGGGATGCTCTAAATGAACTTGACAAGATATGGAAATCAAACCTCCCAGACAACCTGAAGAGAAACTTCTTTCGAGCAGCAGTGGAAACCGTCCTTTTATATGGTTCAGTCTCCTGGAACTTAACAACACATCTGGAAAAGAAAATCGATTGAGCATACACTAGAATGCTACGCGTTGCCTTAAACAGAGCTCTACGGTCACATCCCGCCAATCAGTAAGTCGCTACAGCAACAAAGGATGAGATTCGCAGGACATTGTTGGCGCAGTAGAGAAGAACTAGCAGGGGATGTATTACTCTAGAAGCCAACACATGGACATCAGCCGAGAGGACGCCCGAAAAAGACCTACATTGACCAACTGATGGATGACACAAGACGCAGAATTAAAGATCTACCAATTGCAATGGAAGACAGAGAAAGGTGGAGGGAGCGTGTCATGGAGTACCGAACAAGCTCGACCTGATGATGATGTTGATAGTTACATTAGCTGTAGGATAATTTGTCGTTTCTGGCCATTTGTTGTTGCCTTACTCTGTTTACGACATCAAATATTCATTTTCACTTCAATTAACTTAGGAACATATTTTTCCCGATGGCCTATTTTCTAGTAAACATTGCTACACTTTAAGAACCTTTTTTGAAACGAAAACAGTCGAAAAATATTTGACCGACTTGAAAACTGCTTCATGAACGCAGAAGGATCAAGCCACTAGCTTAACAGATTAACTTTGAGCACAACAACGAAACTCAAATAGATTTGACGGATTCTTTGGAAGCCACCAGATACAATAAAAGCTTGTGGTTAACTATATGTAAACGTTAGAGATGATTTACCAGCGACAGCCAAAGATATCTGCGCAAAAAGTCAGTTCGATCTCGTCTGAAGGCGAAACGAGCGAGAACAAAGAAGTCGACATGCAGACAGTGATCCTGAAAATGTCGAAGAGGAGGTTACTGGGTACAATTTGAGAGTGGATGGAGACGAGGAAGTGGAGAGTGTTTTAAACATTCAAGAACTTGACACAGGTTCTACTTGTATTTTCCCATGGCGACGGCCGGGTGAAACTTCATTTTGACACTACTGGTCGTCAGCAATTGTACTAAAGATCATACCAAAAATAACGAGAACAATAACCAGATTTCAGCAATTCCATGCTCTGGGGCTTGCATCATCTTCCTTACAAGTCTTCCATAACTCACGCTACTTCAACTTGAATATTACATTATTATAATCACTTCTTTTCGAACATTTGCGTTAAGTTCGCGAACTAATCATAAAAATTACAATTTCTTCGATTGTGATTGGTTTAAAAAACTCCTATTTTCCACTAATTCACTTGTAGAGTTGTTATAGAACAGTTCGATAAGCCAATCACATTCAAAGTTGTTATTTAAATCAACTAAATAAAACTTTAAAAAGACTTGGCTTCTTTTTCTCTCTCGAAAATTGTAATTTTTATTATTAATTGGTAATAAGACTTTGCGTCGCTCGATTCGGTCTGTAGTCATACTCGTGACAAACAAATCAGACTCCCGCCACTCCGATTTTGTTATTACTTTTTGTTATTATTAATGCAAAATCAACAGATTACCCGCGGGTAAACGACCGGAAATTAGGGTACCCGTATGATTGCAGACCGAATCGGACAATACGAAGTCTTTACCATTACTTATGTTAGAATTACAATCTATATATATTTTACTGCCTTGACAAGGAGGCGATTTTCCCTAACATTATTGCGTTACTGAACGCCCACAATATATTTTTGTTCCGCAATGTTTGCAATAAATTAAACATGTAATTACGCCGATGTCCTCTTTCTGAGAAAACAGTATTTATCACCTTTAATTTAGGTGCATTCTTCTCGCTTTGTATTTTAATTACCCTCAAAGGCCAAACCCTTGACACAAATTTTAAGATCAGAAGTCGTCCACCACAGAATGGAATAAATCATGCAGTGTTTTGTTATGAGACCATGTGAGTCTTTCACGCGAATTGGAGGTGTATCAGAAGTATGAGATACACTGCAAAGCGGATTTATTATATTTCGTAACATTTAGAACAGATAAGAAATAACCAAGAACTGACACATTGAATAAGACTGCGGCTGTTCATCTAGGTGAATCACAAAAATACATTGTTTGTCTCACGATGCAATAACATGAGCCGTTGGGCAACGTGACGTTGCGATCTTCTTCTTCTTCAAGCTACAAGGTCGAGTGGTTAGGCGTCAACTTAATTTGAACTATCCCACTTAAAATCTTAAATTTAAAATTTGATTTGAGGATTGGCTTTAATATAACGCGATAGTCGGTTGAATGATAGCAAAGTGTTTCATTTCGCTCCTTTTCCGAGAAATCATGGCGGCGTACCCACCTGCACAAAATTATAAACGGAAACAAAAACATACCCCCACTGCACTTATGGTCAAACTGTTTGAGGATTCTTATGACATAGATCTATCATTGTAACAAATCTGTACATGTTTCTCATCACAAGCAGTTAAGTGAATACGTATATTTTTACTGTGAAATAAAACTGGAAAGTAAAAGTGACAGATTACCCTGAGCCGAGCTCCTAAAGTGTCTCCTTACGGCAAAGTTCGTGTACCGGCGTGAATTCTGCTTTTTTTTCCGTCACTGGTCGCTTGAATACCGTTTTTATACGATTCTAATCGTGATTACAACTTACATTTTAGAAAAAAAGAGAACTGGCCGACGGAAAAACATCAAGCGAATGAAGTTTAGAAGCACAATGCATGACGTAGAGTTATGCAAATTTCCTCTAATGATTTCTAAGAACTCGATATCCCTAGTTCCCAGGACACAGCGGCTGCAGAACTCGGTTAGGTTATCTTAATTTTTCTTTTTATGTAATCTTCCTACGTTTTGACCTCTGATCATGAACAAAAAGTTCTATCAGCCAAAACAGAGGATTCGGTCCAAACCCTCTTTCTCTCAGCCCTGGATAGTACACAAATTGTATCGCTTCTGAGCTTACAGAAAAGCTATAAACATATTTTAAGGTAACAGTGACAATCAAAACTCTTAGCTCCCAGCTCTCATACAGAGTAGCTTGAGTCAACTTTCCATAATCCTGAATCTTACCCTTTTTCCTTTAAGAGGACTCCCCTCCTACTCTCTCCGACCTAAAGCTCCTTAGAGTTTTCTTTTCTCTGCTTTCAAAAGCCCATCATTGAAGATTATTTTGGAAAACGCTTTGACCCAATATAAGCGGTGGTTCCAGTGGCTGTTGTTTTCAATTTTTTCTTTCTATACCCCAGATTTCACCATATCGTCGTCCATTATTTCCTCACAAACACAGGGTGCGATGCTCTCAAGAAAAGTGACTGAGATCAAAACTCAAGTTTTTGGAAGAGGGTCATGATCAACCGAAGAATGTGCTGTACAAAGATGGACCTGAAGATCTCATTATTAGTCTCAGAATCGTAATGGATGGTTAACTAGCGTTTCCTGAAAAAGGACTCAAGCAATAGTTAAAAGGTAAAACTAATTTAAGGGAGTGGCGATGTCTAAATAATCTTTGGAAATAATCTTTACAAGGCAGTTTCCTTTCCTCTCATTATTTCTCTCGATTTACAACCCACCTCTTACTTCGTAAACCAAGGGTGTTCTGTCGTAGAGTGCAAATCAGGTGACTGGGCACTACCCTCTTTCCCGCCAGTCGTCAGTTGCCAAATCAGTTTCAATATGGCGGACGAGCAAGTTTGAACATGGCCACAGAATCGACCTCAAAAACGGAGAAGCAAGATATTTTCAAGGACGTCAGATTCTTCCTAGCTGAGGAAAGCAATGAAGAGGTGTGTTCTGATTTACTAAGTGCGATGAGAGGTGTAATCGTAGGTACTCAAACTAGGCTTCACTGATTTCGAAGGTAAACAACGCCAAACAACGTGTACACAATACGCCTTCTGTCCAGGTGTTTTTATATATTCGTCGTAATTTTGCAGAAGATAACATTGGAGTACAACATAAAACACTATTATATATCTTTACTGTCATCCAGGATAAAAATATTACGATCGTAAAAGCTGAACTGCTCGGTTGTTAAGATCAAACGAGGGTACAGTATTATTTTAGCACTCTGGGTTGTTAGGCGAGGGGCTCGGAGATATGTCGGTGACTTCATTGACTAATTCTTTACCTTAACAAATCGACTATGTAATGAAGAAAATATTAATCGCAAACAACGCTGAAACTGCCATGACTCTCTTGCAGAATTACACGATCGTATGTTTTTGCTACCTCTAGATCTACATCTAGATCAGTAAAAACATGCATGTGGAAAATTCTTTGAGGTTGAATGATTACGTCTCACTTAGTTATGCATCAGTGTAATTCTTGGTGGATGCTGATGTTAGGGTGTAGAGGGTTAAGGTAAACATCCTAACTATGAATTTCTTCCCAGTACTCCTCCTTTGACCTGCTTGGAATCCCCCCTTACCTCTTCATTGACCACTAAGACTGAAATTAAAAAAAAAGGAATTGATTTCTGTTCAATTTAATCTGTGATCTAACAAAGATGTACCCGGTATTTTACTTGTTATAATGAAGGTGAAACAAGTCTTGAAGTCAGGCGGAGCAGCTCGTGAGTTTTACATCAGTGATCTTGTGACTCATGTCATCTCCACGGATACCAATTTTCCTCAGTATAGTGAAGCCAAGGATTGTAACTTGACAATTGTTCAGGTACACATGCATATACATCCTTGTTTGCTTTTTTTTCTTCTGGTTTTTAAAATATTGTTGAAGGTTTTTGCCATAGTTAGGAGATGTCCCATAGCAGAAGTATAGATGAAAAGGAAAAATCTCTCTCCATTTTCACCATCTATCATATGCTCTGATATAGATTGTCCTTCCTTGGAAAAGGTAATTTGATAGATTTAGGGCTCATTTCTCATGGAAATAGTGAATAAGTGCTGATAAAGTTGTAACCTTTAGTTTGCCTCTGTGAACTTCTCCCTGTTGCAAGTTTAGTCCCATTAAATTTTTAACCCTTTAACCCCTACATGTGAGAGTGACTAGCATCTAATTTCTCCATACAATATCACCCCTGAATCACTCATTAAGGCTACGGGAATAAAGGAAATGATCACCAACTAAAGAAGCTCTTGATTGTTAAACAAAATCTCCTTGTCAATACCATAGGAAATGTTTAGAAAACAGTATGGAGAATATGCCTACTGATCTTTGGGATTAAAGTGTTAAGAGAAGGAGAAGTGGCAATATGTCAGGTCTAGTCATGCTATAGAATGTCAGTGATGTGGTAATGGCCAGTCTAAAAACATGTAAATTACACTTTGTACATTTGTATGATCACCAACTAAAGAAGCTCTTGATTGTTAAACAAAATCTAGAGGTAGTATGTTTAAGATGTACTTGTAAACATGATCCAACACAATTCAATTTTTGCAGCCAAATTGGGTCTTTTTGAGTGCAAGGTGTGAGATGCTGCTGCCGTATCCTTTCAAAAAATAAAATTTTTCTTTAGCAGAATTCTACTTCATTGATATATTACATTATAGTTATTTTATGTTGTTGATTTTTTTCTTTTTGTGATGATCAAATTAAAGTGGTGTAAAAGCTTTTCAAACTTCTTGTCAGTATTTGCAACCTATGTTGCATTGATATACTTGATATACTTGCATTTTCTACTGACCAGGTAAAATTCAAATGGGTGCTGCACACATTTGAAAGGTACAGCAAAGTTTTGAATAGAGGTAATAAAATAAGCTGTTCAAACAGCTATATAAATTGTTGAATCGGTGATGTCAGCCAGTGAAACTGCATACATTTTTCTTCAATTTGTGTGTAAGTTAAAGTGTTACAGAGTAATTCATAAATAAGATCAGAAATTTTGTACAAGACTTACCTTGTTTGTTAAGGGATTTGTGTGATTACATAGCAAAGTGTTTGATGCAAAGGATTTTAATTTTGAAGTTTGTTGTTTAAGTACATATTCTGTGGATGATTTTTGTGACTTTCCTTAACATGAGAAAAGATGTGGAGCCTTCCAACCAGAATCAGAACAACTTTTCAGGGGGATTGTTGTTTGCCCTTCTCAGGTAAGAGTCATAAATGATTTAAGTACACGTACTCAAGTTAGTCCGGTTGTAATGTACATGAAGGACAACCAGTTGTACATGTTCTTGGCTTAGTCAACAGCTTTCAAACACATGTAACTTAACTGTCATTTTGTATCTACCAATTTGTTCTCAGTACTGCAATGCTGTTATTCACTTTAAATCTGTGTAACTAAAATCAAAATTTTTCCCAGCATTTTCTGCTGTGACATAAATGGTGGAAGAGTAAGATGTTGACAAGTAATTATGTCCTCATTTCTCCAACAGATTCCAGTAAATGACAGAGATGCATTGTGGGCCATGGTAACATACTATGGAGGCCAATGCCAGCTGAATCTCAACTCTAACTGCACTCATCTGGTGATTCCTCTTCCATCAGGTGTAAGTTTTAACAAAATTGTACTCTATCAGTGTGGTAACATATGAACTTTTAGATTGAAGGTCCTGTCTTGGGTTTTCATGGCTTAGCTCAGAGAAAAACCTTTTTTAGTGCATTAGGTGTATTACATGAGTAATACTGAGATTTATTGCAACAACTTCTTCGAGATACATGTAGTTAACTCCATGAATGAGTCACAGCAGAAAAAGTTTTAACAAAAAAAATTCCATTAATTACTATTTACTGTATGAGGTTAAGTTAGTGTATATAAAAATTATCGCTTCTTCCAAGAATCCCAAACTTTCTCATTTTCTGTCTGAATACAAGTTGTTGCAGTAGCTACACTGTATCTTAAGGTCAGGGGACAGTCAAATAATATGCAATTTTGAGGCCTGACATGTTGGAGTGCAGAGGGTGAGGATCTGCAGTGTGGGAAATCCTAGCTCGTGTAGGAAAAGGATGATGGTATTGATGGGTCATGGGATGCCATGCACTTTGATTTCGATTGTAATGAAAATTTAGCAAGACTCCATTTTACAATAATTGTATGCTTACATGTAGTTGCTAAGCCCTTAAACAAGGTGACCTCCCTCTGCAGTTCAACAAAGTAACAGAGTAAGCCACAAGGTTTTTATCTTTACAAGGTCTCCTTTAGCCTCACTCCTTGGCAGCTAAGCATAATTATGATTATGAAGTTGTTTATTGCTTTAGATCTGCTTTTGAATCAATATCAGTTAAGCACATTTCAACATGGTTTTTTTCCATTCATTTTTTGTCTTATTAGCCAAAATATGAATGTTCTTTAAAGCATCCTGAGCACATTAAGATTGTCACTCCCAGCTGGATTGTGGACAGCATAAAGGCAAAGAAGAGGCTTGATGA